GAGGATGTATGTGTGGTTTAGTGAAAATCATCTACAATTTCTTCAGCCCTTATGTATCAGCTAAACTGGAAATGATTTTAAATACATTATTTCATTTAGTTTTCACAGAAACTCTATGAAACAGATATTCTTCATCCCCATTTTCAGACAAGAAACTAACGGCCTGGGAGGTCACATGATATGCTCACGTTCCAGGTTAAATCTGGAAAGTACTGGAGCTGGGATTCAAACCCAGGACTTTGTCACTCTGGCAACTCGTGATAGATACTGAGCACCTACTATATAGCAGGCACTGGGCCAGGTACTGGAAATGCAAAGACAAATTCAACTGCCCTCACTTCAAGGAAGACAACGCGTCTTCATCAAAATGCTAAGGAGATTCCAAAATGACTTAATTAAAAGTGCTGCATAAATGCATGGCATTATATTAGGTTGGCAGCCGTTTCCTGCCAATATATGAAGTGCTAAGAATCAATAGGAAGAAGTATATGGTTATAAAAAAAAATGAGCAGAGCCATCAAAAGACTAATTGAAAGCATGGCATGTTAAGAAACTCACAGATTTATTTATGTGAAGTTTGGAAGATGCTACTCTAGCAGTTTCTGGCTGGTTTTGATGATTGATGATATACCTAAAGTAGCTGAGCTCAGATTAACTTAAGTTGCTTTATTTAAAACCGTGCTCTCTCAGAGAATCTTACTTTTAATGTTCCCGGAGATATATACCTGTGTTATGTTGGGGATAAGCTATTTTAGAGTCAGGAGAGGAAATGAAGAAAACAAGGTCAATATTACATGGTTTCAACACTGTTTGTCAATATATTGCCCATGATATTGTGCCAGCACAACTGGTGAGAATATGGGAAGGGGAAATGGGGTAAATGCTCATGCAAAGATGACTAGAATTATACAACAGATGAGCTATATTAAAAACATAGTGGTTCACTATTAAGGAATATAGAAGAGCAGATATTAGGAATTTGCTTTTACTCAGCAAAATGAATAATTCTTAGGTTTATAGATCAAATCAAGAATGTTATATTAATATAGGGTTTTTTATATGACCTCTTTAATTCAAAATGCTTTTTTTGTTTGTTTATATTGTTAACTTCTAAAATGTACCATTCTTCTTTTTGAATTGTCTAGGCATTCTTTATCACTGAGTACTTTTTTTTTTTTAACGCTTTGATGGAATTATGTCAGTGAAATTAGAGAAAACTAAAAGATGTGCTTGGGAGCAGTCAGTATTTAAGTGGTACTATATATTTTGGTTTTACTTGAAGTAGGCTGGAAGGGAAAAGAGAAAAGTTGTGTGTAGAGCTCATTGTGTGTCAGGGACCCAACTAGATTCTATATGTAGATTCTCTCTTTCTCTAGGTTTAAATACCATCTATCAATCAATCATTCTTTCTTATATCTATGTAATTTCATTTGCATAGCATTTGTAACCATTTTGCAGATGAAGTTTCGAAGATTAAATGACTTGCCAGATTTTTTTTTTAAAGATTTTATTTGTTTATTTGACAGAGAGAGACACAGTGAGAGAGGGAACACAAGCAGGGGGAGTGGGAGAGGGAGAAGCAGGCTTTCCGCTGAGCAGGGAGCCCGATGCGGGGCTCGATCCCAGGACCCTGGGATCATGACCTGAGTGGAAGGCAGCTGCCCAACCAACTGAGCTACCCAGGCGACCCAATGACTTGCTAGATTTGAAACCAGGGCTTTTTCCTTCAAAACCCTTGTTTTTGCTGGAGTTTGCTATTGTCTTGGGTTTGAAATGACTGAATTGCAGTTATCGGCAAGATAAAACATTAAGTTGTAGCATCATTTTTTATTTGCTTTTATTTTGAGCAATATGATCATATTAAGTAGATGTTTTTAAGAGAGTCCTATAGTGCATCTATAAAATGTGTAAAGATAGTCCTGCCCTACTAGGGTTTTGAACCTTGTGTAAAGGATATAGTCACCTAGAACCTTTCTGAATTGCTGGTCTCCATTTAGAGTTGATTTGTAGAAATTCTTTTTGGCCACTGTTTCTTGTGAAACTGTATTATTTGGCTTTTTTTACTTTTCTTGTCTGACTGGACTACTTGCATTTTGAGCAACCCCTAGCCAAGTATTAGACCCCAAGTATTAGACCAGTAGCATCCAGCATAAGTATTTGATTTGACTTTGAACTCTGCCTTCACTCACCTTGTTTGTACACCATCTGCTGTCTCTTCCTTGTACTTTTCAGGCTGTCCAGACTTGACTTCCATGAATGCATTCCCCGTCGTTGTTTGTATTTGCTCTTCCTCCTCCTGTACCTCTGGGGACCTTATGCTGTTCTCTTGTTAATCATATGTTCTTTTATAAATGTATTTCTATGTTTCACTGTGAATACCATGGTGCTCCAGCTTCCTACATTTTAAACTCTTTGATTTCATGGATGGTGATTTAAGCAACAGTCCTTTGCACAATAGTCGACTTAAAAAAAAAATCTTGAAAATTATTTAGTGTAACTTTATTTTAGTAAAACTCTTTTGCAGTATAGAGATGAAACGGTTTGATCAGTTATGGTTCTACAAAGGGTACAGGGAATGTGGCACTCATAATTGGTGGTGGGGCTCATTGGTGGGACTTGTAACTAGTGCATTGCCACTTGGGAGATCTATTTGACTGTATCCGTTGAAATTTAAAATGCGTAAACCATTTGACCCTGCAATTCAACTTTTAGGAGTTTATCCTAAAAATGCTAGAATGTGTATGCAAACATATTTGTACAAGGGTATTTTTTAAATAGATTTATTCATTTTAACAAAATATTGGAAAAAGTTTAAATGTTCATCAGTGGGGAAGTGGCTGAATACATACATGGTGGGGCTTTCATGTGATGGAATATGGAATACTCTGCACCATTATAAAGAATGTGTACTACTTGACTTCTGTGGAGTATTATCAGTGCAGATTCTTAACTGGTAAGAATATGATACAGAACAGTATGCTAACATTTGTATAAAAATTAAGTCTGTGGGAAAGGGGTTTATATGTATATGTGTGTACATACACCCATACAATTGTATAACACATATAAAATGTTTATAGGGAGGTAGAGGAGGCAGTCGAAGTTTACTTTTCACTGTTTACCCTTTTTTAACATTTGAATTTATTACCATATACATGATTTATCAATAATATTAGTTTTTAAAAAGTCTGATAGTACAGATTTAAAATTCCCAAGTCTATTGACTTAGCAACAGTAGATGAGATAATGTGTATAAAGAACTTAGTATGGTTTCAGATGTAATAATGAGTATTTAGTAAATTTTATGAGTGGTGGTCATGGCGGAGATGGTGGTAGAGTTGTAATGATGATGTCAGAGCTTGACCTTGAAGATATAATGTCAGGGCAGATTGAATGTTCCATCTCAGTATCTTACCCTCACCTGGGGATCTAAGCAGTCTTAAAGAGGGGTCTCAAGTGTGGAATATTTTATAGTTTGGTGCTTTGGCTTAACATTAATGATTTTTTTTCTTTGTTCTCTTCTATAATATTTCCCTATTTTTTTTTTTTAAACATGAAATAATTGTGAATCACTTACTATCAGGGAAATAATTCGAAAAACTCATGTATCTCCCCAGGGGAAAAGAAATGATTCAGTCAAAATTTGCAGTCTTGGCAGATGAGCCATGCTTGTCTTGTGGTAATGTGGAACCCTCGTCTTTTGCCACCTGGCTCCAGGTGTATATAAGCCCTACTTTGAGAAGCAAGGCTTTCTATCTACCAATTACGGTTAGGATCTGATATTGCCCTTTGATGATCTCTGTGATGACGTAGTGATTTCTCTGAAGTTGGTGGAACTAAATTTGGTTTCTAAGTCCTGTGACCATCTGTTTGTTGTCATTTGACCTGTGAGACCGTTGGTTCCCTGGCATATGTGACCATACTCTCCTACCGTGTAGTGATCCAAAACGGCTACTTCCAAATCAGTGTCCTCGCTTCAGGGGTTTTTACTGCTTTAAGTGACTCATACATTTGCAAATTCCATGTCCCTTTCAATTCTGCCCCCATCTGATCCTTCATTAATGACCTAGGCCGGAAAGGGAAACTGTAGAGAGGGCAGGTAGAAATGATAAGCCAGTAAATGCCCGGGAAAGATCTGTAGTTAACCAGCAGGGTAACCATGTGCAGGTGCTTTGTGTTGATGTTTCTTCTTAAGAGTGTTGAGGCTTTTTGGTTTGATGGACTGTATCTGTGAAACTATAAATAGATGTGTTTTTTTAAATTGGTGTCTTGTACTTACATACTGATGTTATTTTTTGACCAATATTGAAATTTAGAATTGATTTAATTAAATGCACAGATATCATTCAGATAAAAACGATCTCAAACTGTTTCTTCTGACCAAATATTTTTAGGTGAAAATTAACGTGTTATGAACAATTAGTAATTGTAATGTAACCCCCCCCCTTTTAAATACATTAGCAATGCTATTAGGTGAAGTAAAATTACATCAAGTGATTCAGTGTGTAGAAGTGTCATGAAGGAGTTTTTCACTATTACTTCTAGAGGTTAAGTTTTGGAGAAATTATGTGACCAATAATCAAAGAATATATAATATTTATCAAAGGAGAAAGTAAAACAAACCAAACTTTAACGTTTGACATGCAAACATTGACCTCATTTTTATTTAGTTGTACTGTTAAATAATAAGTGTTAGTACTTATATGTACAACAAGCATAGTAGATAGTGGATATCTATGCATTTGCCTCTATTCTTTTTATACCTTTGGGCAGATATTTGGCCTTTTACAGAGAAGAGAGAGACAGGAGATTTTATTGTTCACACTGTGCTGAACCTCAGAGGTGCTGCCCCCACTTGCTTAATGTCTTTCTAGAGAAACAGTGGACCTGTTTCTTCAGAGCTCTTGTAAGACTTAATATGAAAAATCACAGAGGCATAAACGTATTTGAGCCATTAATTTTCAAGTGTTTTTTCCTATCGTTTTATTTTTATTTTTCAGATACTATCTCCTTTGGGATTAAAACAAACTAAAAGGTAAGGTTGCTTTTTTATAAGAAAGCTCAGAGTAGAGGAAAAAAAAATCTTAGTTCTAAATATATCTTTCTAGAGATAAAATAAGATAGCTTTTTCTCTGGAAGAACAAAGACATGGCAGTCTATTGGTTTTTAAAAATCTCAGAGACTTTATTTCATACCCATGTAACTGAAAGCTCTGAGTCTTTTCAAACTGTTTCTAAGATCAAAGATATTTCTTCACATATGTGGGATCTCATAAATCTATGGGCAAATAAACTATTTTCAAAAGCCCAGATTTGTTTTTGAAATAAAATAAAGTGTATGTTTTCCAGATCTGTATTTAAAATGATGCAAAGAGCTATTTATATGGAGTAGAATGTTGAAAAGGCCATCAGCATTTCAAAGAGCTGATACTCTTGTCCCAGAGCTCAAGTAAACAGTGGCTGGCTATGTCATTCACTGCAGAGATTTTCCCCAATTTTTTTTTTTTAAAGTTTCAAGTTTTTTGATGTTTATAAACATCAAAAGTCTTAAATTTTCATGTGGTCAAATTTACATGTCTTCCATTTATTTCATATGCTTCTTTTGTAAAACAGTCATTCCTAACCCCAGATCAGTTCAGAAAGAATTACCAATATTTCTTCTGTTTTTGTTTTTCTTTTGTTTTTAAACATATAACAGAACTGTCTATAGAACTCTCCACAGTGTTTAGGCATATGACATGAAGTGGAGATGAGTTCATTTTCTCCCAGATAGTTAGATTCTTAACACTATTCCTTTTATAATTTATTTCTACACTGGTTTATGAGGATATATATTAAATTTAAAAATAGAATCTATTTGCTGTGTCAGTTCTTTTACGAGTTTTCTTTGTTGCTTTTTTCTTGTTATTTTTCAACAAATTACTAGCTTCTGTCACTTATTTAGTTTTTCAAATGAAGCTGGGTATTAAAGTCCTCCTAACCACCCCCACAGAAATTTCCATTGGGAGTTACATTAAAATAATTTGGATAGAGCTGGCATTTTATACTGTTCAGTCTCCCCATTCAATGTATATCTCTATTTATTCTGATCCTTCATGGTTCTTTGTAAATTTTTGTAATTTGCTTCAAATTGACCTCTTTGGACCCAGTAGTCTCCCCCCCGCCTTATTTACAAGGAATCTGTTCTAATACCCATAGCAGGTACCTGAAACCACAGACAGTATAGATCTCTGTATATCCTACGTTTTTTCCTATATGTACATATCTATGATAAAGTTTGTAAATTAGGCACAGTAACAGATTAACAATTAACTAATAAAAATATAACAATTACAACAGTATAGTGTGATAGAAGTTATGTGAATGTGGTCTCTGTCTCAAAATATCTTATTGTACTGTACTCATCCATCTTGTGATAATGTGAGATGATAAAATGCCCACGTGAGGGAGTGAAGCGAGGAGAAAACACAGGCACTGTAACGTGGTGTTCGGCTTCTACTGTCCTGCTGACAGTACGTCAGAAGGAGGATCATCTCCTGCGCCCTGTTGACTGTGGGTAACTGAACAGTGGGAAGTGAAACTGTGGATAAGGGGGGACTACTTAGTCATTGTTATTATAAATGATTTTTTTCATTATAACTTTATTTCCTGTTGGTTATTACTGGGATTGAAAAATGCTATTGATTTTTAGGAATTTTAACTTCATTCCCTTGACCAAACTGTTATTTGTTTTAATAATTTATCAGTCGATTCATTTGAGCTTCCTAGATAGACAGTTATGTTGTGGCCAATAATACTTTGGTTTCTTTCTTCCAGGAGCCCTGTTCCATTACTTCCTGTGTTATGTTCTTATATTGGCTAAATCCTAAAATTTAAAAAAATGATTGGTTGTAAAGTATTTACTCTGTTAGGAATGATTTTATAACTTACCTAGAGACTGCAGGTTACTTTCCACCATGAAGAAAGGTTTTTGCGAAATTGTCACATTTCCTTGGTAATGCATCAGTGAAATCTCATTTTTTTGGAAGAACAATTGTAATTGTAGAGAAAACTTGTTAAAATAGTTGCTTTGAAAACTTATTGAAAGCAGATTTTTAAATAGGTTATTATATTTTTTCCTTTTCATATTTCTAGGTGGAAACTTGGTGATATTGGGAAAGAGAAATTCAGAGTTAGAAAATATGAGTGGGGTGCCTGGGTAGCTTAGTCGGTTGGGTGTCTGACTCTTGGTTTTGGCTCAGGTCATAATCTCAGTGGGGCTTGAGATTCTCTCCCTCTGCCCCTCCCCTTGCTCGTACATACACACACACACACACACACACACACACATATTCACACTCTCTCTCTCAAATAAATAAATCTTTTTTAAAAAAGAAAATGAGTTCAGTGGTTCTAAAGTAAAATCCAACTTTTATGGATAATTGTTATAATGGATATTGACTATATTAAAAAAACAAAATAGTTTCCATTTTTTTTTCATTAGACTCAGCAGAATTATCATTCCTTTAGTATGCAGGTAACAGTTTTTACTAATTTAACTTGCTTTTGTGGTGTGCTGTTATCTAGCTCATGAATTGTTTCCACTCCCAGAAGGCTGAAACCACCGGCTCGAACTGCTTTGGTGTGTTTACTTCCCACCGTGGGTACCTTTACCTGTATGCAGGTGCCTTCCTTCTTTTCTCCTCAGCCGTCTTTTGTGTAGCTTGTCACTTGTCCTAAGGTGCTGAGTAGAATCTACATAGAACTAATGGGAGCTGTTCTCTGGAAGCTTCTGCAGCAGTGACTTGCCTTTCCCTGTGTTTAAGATGCCTGCCTTTTCTTTATCCACTCCGTTACCAAACCTGTCTCCTGGCAAGATTTCTCAGAAGTTCACCTCAATGAGGGGGCTTTCACTGATCATCTCTGCCAGTAGTTCCTGGAGTCGCAAGGTGCTTTATGCTTTCTGTGTGTTTGAGACATGTTTATAGTTTGCCACAGTGTTTCGTGGGTGGGGCACATTTCCCACAAATCCCCAGTGCTTGGCACTGCTGCTGTGTTTTGAATGAATGAGTGGGAGACCGTCTGTATTTTGGTGCTCAGTGCTCTGGAACATGCTTCTTATAATTCTCCTACATGCTTCCCAGATTCACTAGCCTTTTCTGTATATTCTTTTTCTCAAAAATACTATCTTAATAATGATCATGATGCATGCTTGTTACTATTCTTTCCTGAATATATATTTTTTTTCAAATATATTATTTTCACAATGATCATGACACATAAGTTATAATACATAGTTGTTTTCTGGGCTTCATATGTTGCTATTAAAAATGAGTGGCAACTAAATATTTTTTTAACGGCTTTTCCATTAAAATTAAAAAAAAATATTGCTCTGGAAATATACCAAAAAGACATGAAAAATGTAAGATGGCAAAAATACCAATGTGGCCAAAGTCATGACTTTGTGATGAGTGGTACGACTGTACTTCTCTGTTATTATTTTTTTTCCTTCAAATTTTTTTATTGTTATGTTAATCACCATACATTACATCATTAGTTTTTGATGTAGTGTTCCATGATTCATTGTTTGTGCATAACACCCAGTGCTCCAGGCAGAATGTGCCCTCTTTAATACCCATCACCAGGCTGACCCATCCCCCCACCCCCCTCCCCTCTAGAACCCTCAATTTGTTTTTCAGAGTGCATCATCTCTCATGGTTCCTCTCCCCCTCCAGTTTCTCTCCTTTCATTCTTCCCCTCCTGCTATCTTCTCCTCCTCCTTTTTTTTTTTTTAAAGATTTTATTTATTTATATGAGAGAGAGAGAATGAGAGATAGAGAGCACGAGAGGGAAGAGGGTCAGAGGGAGAAGCAGACTCCCTGCTGAGCAGGGAGCCCAATGCGGGACTTGATCCGTGGACTCCAGGATCATGACCTGAGCCGAAGGCAGTCGCTTAACCAACTGAGCCACCCAGGCGCCCCCCCCCTTTTTTTTTTCTTAACATATATTGCATTATTTGTTTCAGAGGTACAGGTCTGTGATTGAACAGTCTTGCACAATTCACAGTGCTCACCATAGCACACACCCTCCCCAATGTCTATCACCCAGCCACCCCATCCCTCCCACCCCCCACCACTCCAGAAACACTCAGTTTGTTCTCTGTCGTTATTTTATATCCTCTTGTGAAAAATGTACTCCACAGCCACTGTGTAACTACTTAAAATCTGTCACTTAGTTGGGAAAGTTTCATCTCGGTAACAAGTCACTTAATTTTGCCTATAAAATGTTCCTAACCAGCTCAATCAAAGATAACTACAATATATTTTTAATCATGGTTAATTAGATTAATAATAATATTAATAACCACTAAATACTTAATGAGCTCCCTCTCTGTGCCTTTCACATTTAATCATCACACTAAGCTGGGGTCGATGTTGAGTCTGTGTTGCTATTTATTAATGAGGCCTCACTCTGTGATAAATTATCTTGCCCTGATCAAACTAGTCAGTCACCTAGATGTCTTTACATATGACCTTGCTTCTATCAAATGTCCAGAGAAAGGTTTTGTTTGATTTGGGGTGGTGGCATGTATCCCAGGATGACTGTGTGTATCCTAGAAATATTCCAAACTCATTGATTATTTTTTATTAGATCAAGGAGCAAATTCTCATTAAGGTCTGCTTTGGGTAAAAGTTAATCCTACTACCAGTGTGTGTGTGTGTGTGTGTGTGTGTGTTTATTCCTAAGGTCTCCGAATGCTTTACAGGAATTCTCACTTTTCTCCTCTGATCCTCATGACTGCTATGTAAATAAATGAATCCATTTAATTTGAAAGTCTTTTCCTTAAAAATCAAAGCCAGGAATTTAGCATTTTAAAAATTCACTTTTCGCATATATTTCCTAACATTAGAAATTACTAGATAACCAGAAGTACCATTTCCTTAAAGGACAGATGGAAGTGGGTCTTGGGAGTGGCTGCCTGAAGCCTGTCTTGTGGTGTGCACTGGGGTCATTTCCCGGAAGCTGCCTGTCCTTTTGAGTCAAGGCTGTGCCATCT